CCTCGTCACCGTCGCCTCGCCAACCGCCGTTCAGATCCGACAAGATTCGCCCACTACAACGCTATCGCACACCACCTGTTCGACGATATGTCAACGCACATCCAGTGGAAGAACCGCCCCCTTCTAGCCACCAGCAAACCCGTCAGAGCTTCGAGACATTCCAACAACATTCCCGAGCATCCGCAGTGACGCCGCCGCCCCGTCATCAGACCCCTTGGTCTCGTAGGCAAGATCCCACTTGCTCAGATCTATATTCTTCTATTTATTATGAATTATTTACGATTTTAGATCTGTTAATATTTATCTGCGTGGGATTGTTTGATGAATAATATTAGATAAATCGTAGTTATATGATAAATAGTATTTTTATAATAATTATGATAAATTAAAAGAATTTATTTTGGCAGCAGAATCATTTTTGGATAATTATGTTAATTAAAAAGAATTTATTTAAGAACAAAATCATTTTAGGAAAATTATAATAATTTAAAAGGAATTATCTTGGAAAAAGAATCAGTTTAGAATAATTATAATAATTTTTAGAAATTATCTTGTGGAAGAAATTATTTTAGAATAATAAATATTTTTGAAAAGAAATCATTTGGGAAAATAGAATATTTTGAATTAATGAGAATTTATCTTGGTTTTGAAATTATGAATTTTATTATTTAAAAGATTACTTTTAGAATTATTATAATGAGAAAATAATTTATTTTAGAAAAAAAAGAATTATTTTGAAGTAAATAAATTATTATTTCAGAAGATTATTTTAGAACAAATTTTATGATTCAAAATCTTAATTTTGATTATCTGATATGCTATGATATTATTGTATATGATTAGCTGCATTGATTGTTTCATGTTGTGTTTGAGAACCCTTAGTAGTTCATGACTTAGTGGCCTCGTTCGTCATGAACAGACTTGGTGACACGTGTGTGTGCGTTGACCGAGTTTATACTACCACATTTGAGGCCTATGGGGACGGTTGCAAACCATCACACTAGGCATAGAAACCGTTGCCTTACGCCTATGGGGACGGTTCAAGATCCGTCTCGTTTACAGCCGTGCTCTTAGGTCTAATGGGACGGTTTATGCTCCTAGTGCAATGATTTGTAAACTGTCATCCTTGGTAACATAAGGGAACGGTTATGCTAAGGGGTCGGTTCTTGGTTTAGATCAAGTGGAACGGTTTTTTATCAAGTGGAACGGTTTTTATGTTCTAAGCAACGGGAACAGTTTGATAGCAAGGGGAACGGTTTTTAGGTTCTAAGTAATGGGAACAGTTTAATAGCTAGGGGAACGGTTTTTACTTTTGAGCAATGGGGACAATTATTTAGCAAAGGCGACGGTTTTAGATTTTAGAGCAATGTCAATGCTTATTCAACAGTAGAAATAGTTTTTGGTTTTACGCTATGACAATGCTTGAATAGTTACAGTGATGAGTACTTTACAAATTTTAAACATAGCAAAGTGCTACAGTAAAAAATCAAGGCAGTGGACCGCATCTGAAAATTAAACATCAACAAATTTCTATCAGGTCTCAAAATAGTATACACAAATATTATGTCCGAAGAGCTTTCACAGCCAAACTACACAAATTTATACCATACTTTCATAGTGTTTACATCACTTGCAATTTCATAGTGTTAATATCACTTGCAAAATTGTCTACAACTATAAAGTAATGTAAGCTAATCTTGACCATCATGTAGGTTATCTTCTACTCCCACTTGAATAATTTCCTACAAAACACAGAGAATATGTTAGTTTACAATTAAAACAACTTAAGAAACTTATTTGGAACTCACTTGCAAATATCGTGGAAGAAGGTTACTTAGCAGCTTAACTGGGATTTTTTTCTAATCCTTCTAGAGCTACTGTGTGGGCAGTGAAGGAAAAGACTTTGCATGCGATGTCCCACGCCTCTTTCCATTTGAGAAGTTCATCAATAAGAACCCTCATAAGCTCAGGAATTGCGAGGGAGGGGTGAGTATCATTCAGTTGCAGTGCCACCTGCAAGGTACTGGCAGCTGACGTGAGTGAAACATGTAGTAGTATAGTAGTCTTCTATAGAAGCAATATAAAACAAAAGCTAAATTCCAATAACATATAAATAAAGAACCTTGTCAGGAAATTGATCAAGTTATTGTGAGAATCTTTATATCTCTGCGTGGGATTGTTTGATGAATAATATTAGATAAATCGTAGTTATATGATAAATAGTATTTTTATAATAATTATGATAAATTAAAAGAATTTATTTTGGCAGCAGAATCATTTTTGGATAATTATGTTAATTAAAAAGAATTTATTTAAGAACAAAATCATTTTAGGAAAATTATAATAATTTAAAAGGAATTATCTTGGAAAAAGAATCAGTTTAGAATAATTATAATAATTTTTAGAAATTATCTTGTGGAAGAAATTATTTTAGAATAATAAATATTTTTGAAAAGAAATCATTTGGGAAAATAGAATATTTTGAATTAATGAGAATTTATCTTGGTTTTGAAATTATGAATTTTATTATTTAAAAGATTACTTTTAGAATTATTATAATGAGAAAATAATTTATTTTAGAAAAAAAAGAATTATTTTGAAGTAAATAAATTATTATTTCAGAAGATTATTTTAGAACAAATTTTATGATTCAAAATCTTAATTTTGATTATCTGATATGCTATGATATTATTGAATATGATTAGCTGCATTGATTGTTTCATGTTGTGTTTGAGAACCCTTAGTAGTTCATGACTTAGTGGCCTCGTTCGTCATGAACAGACTTGGTGACACGTGTGTGTGCGTTGACCGAGTTTATACTACCACATTTGAGGCCTATGGGGACGGTTGCAAACCATCACACTAGGCATAGAAACCGTTGCCTTACGCCTATGGGGACGGTTCAAGATCCGTCTCGTTTACAGCCGTGCTCTTAGGTCTAATGGGACGGTTTATGCTCCTAGTGCAATGATTTGTAAACTGTCATCCTTGGTAACATAAGGGAACGGTTATGCTAAGGGGTCGGTTCTTGGTTTAGATCAAGTGGAACGGTTTTTTATCAAGTGGAACGGTTTTTATGTTCTAAGCAACGGGAACAGTTTGATAGCAAGGGGAACGGTTTTTAGGTTCTAAGTAATGGGAACAGTTTAATAGCTAGGGGAACGGTTTTTACTTTTGAGCAATGGGGACAATTATTTAGCAAAGGCGACGGTTTTAGATTTTAGAGCAATGTCAATGCTTATTCAACAGTAGAAATAGTTTTTGGTTTTACGCTATGACAATGCTTGAATAGTTACAGTGATGAGTACTTTACAAATTTTAAACATAGCAAAGTGCTACAGTAAAAAATCAAGGCAGTGGACCGCATCTGAAAATTAAACATCAACAAATTTCTATCAGGTCTCAAAATAGTATACACAAATATTATGTCCGAAGAGCTTTCACAGCCAAACTACACAAATTTATACCATACTTTCATAGTGTTTACATCACTTGCAATTTCATAGTGTTAATATCACTTGCAAAATTGTCTACAACTATAAAGTAATGTAAGCTAATCTTGACCATCATGTAGGTTATCTTCTACTCCCACTTGAATAATTTCCTACAAAACACAGAGAATATGTTAGTTTACAATTAAAACAACTTAAGAAACTTATTTGGAACTCACTTGCAAATATCGTGGAAGAAGGTTACTTAGCAGCTTAACTGGGATTTTTTTCTAATCCTTCTAGAGCTACTGTGTGGGCAGTGAAGGAAAAGACTTTGCATGCGATGTCCCACGCCTCTTTCCATTTGAGAAGTTCATCAATAAGAACCCTCATAAGCTCAGGAATTGCGAGGGAGGGGTGAGTATCATTCAGTTGCAGTGCCACCTACAAGGTACTGGCAGCTGACGTGAGTGAAACATGTAGTAGTATAGTAGTCTTCTATAGAAGCAATATAAAACAAAAGCTAAATTCCAATAACATATAAATAAAGAACCTTGTCAGGAAATTGATCAAAGTTATTGTGAGAATCTTTATATCTCCGAATGATGTCTTGAAGAGAAGCTGAGACGAAAAAGTACTGCTGCTTCAACCTTAGTTCCTTGCCCTACTATTTAGACACACAACTGAGTTACAAGAGCAAAGTAATCATAACCAATACAATACTGTAGAAAGACTACTAATGAGGACAAGAATGACAGCTTCCCAAATTTGTTATTTGACTTTTTTTTAAATTTTCAGTTTTAGTAGTTTGAATTCGAAATTTGAATTGTAGCCTAAATTTAGTAGTTATTCAGTTCTGGTATCTAATTGATTTGGAGAGATTTGAGTGATTTTAGAAGATTTCCAAACTGTATTTTCTTTTCTTTATAAGGGAGTGCTGTAATCAGATTAAGTAATGAAAAGATGAAAAACGAAAATTGATTTTGCTCAATTGAGGTGTGAAACCCTAGCAAATTCATTTTCGTTTCTTCTACAGCACAAAAAAAAAGAAAGCAAACAAAAGAAAATAACAAAATCGCACTGTTCATCTCCCTCCTCCATCTCAAATCACAGACCCATCAAACCCCACCTCCGAATCCCCACCTCCAGCAACCGCCCAGCAGCGCTCCTGCTTCGTCCGCCTCCACCTCCTCCGCCTTTCCCCTGTCTTCTTCTTCCTCCAGCACCCGCAACCAAACCCATCTCCTCTACGTAACAAACACCACCAAACCCAAAACCCTTCTTCTTCCAGCATCGCAACAACTCCACATCGTCCCCTCCAGCAGCCGCCCTAGACCGAACCCCATCCTCCCTCCACCAAACCAACATCCCTGCCGCCAAACTCCTCCTCCAGCAGCTCCCTCAACCGCCGCTCTTCCTTCCACATCCGACCAGCACCGAAGACACTGCCGCATCAGCCCCGCCGATCCCGCCGTCCACCGCCGCCCCTGAGCGTGTCTCTATTGCCACGTTGATGCCGTCGGGTTCTCTTCCCCTGAGATCGAATGAGAACACAAGAGAAATCAGAATATAATGATGACATGTGTGGACTTGTTGATTTGATGATGTTTGGGCTTCACTGCAGAAGCTAATGGGCTTTTGGTTTTCTCTTAACATTTTTGGACAGTAAACTCTCAACTCAGTGATTTTCTGTTTATTTCAATTTATTAGTTAATTGCATGAGTAATACATCTCTAAAGTCTTATCATATATTCACTGCTTATATTATATCTGTGAGTTGAGAGAACTGAACATGTGACTGTTAAAAAAATTGATATTGATCTTAAAACATGCGAAAATGATAATTGATATTGCGAATAAATTATTCGAGATTGGAATTACTTATGACTATCGTTGCAAATCTTGTTAAAATCCATCTGTCGTATTAACTATTTTATTTAATTTCCTACCGAATATCATGAATTTTGGCGAAACGTTGTATTATTCGAATTAAATCGCTGATTCTGATGGACCCCCTCCCCCCGTTTCGCATCAACTACACTACAAAATATTTATATAGATATAAAAGCAAACACGCATCCCAGATCTTCCCGAGTTAACTATATGAACACAAAACAATGTTAAGAAAAATCATAAAACAAACACAATATGAAGGTAAGAGGTTCATAACAATACAGGGAAGAAAGAGGAGGCATCATGCATTACAGTGCAGACAAAGTACAAAATATACCTGATAAGACCGATCATCAGGATATACGCTGCTAATTGTTTCAGCTCGCTGGCTGCTAATAACTGCATTGATGTAATCTCTAGTGTTAAAAGCCTCCTGTGAGAAAATTTCATAGTTAAACATTGTTGTTGGCCTTCTTGTTTTGATGATGTTTAACAAACAATTTACCACTAATGTTGTTTGTCTAGTATTTGTGTTTTCCTATGTATTGTAGACAAACAACGTAGTTGGAGGATGGATGGAATAGAGCTTCAACGATGATATCCAATGGAGGTTGGCGGATTTGTGGAGTGAAGCTACATACAATTCAAGTTAAAGATCAAGTTCAAACTTCATCCGCAACGTGTACCAAGTTGAGCTACAATGAAGATCAAGATCAAGCTTGGGTAATTTAGTATAGGTTTATATTATGTGTGTTTAATACATTAAGCTCAATATAATATACACACACATTTATTGGTTTCTTCGTATATATATATAGTTATATATATATACATAAGTTTTGGTTTCTATACAACACAAGTTTTGGTTTTCATGTTTATAAATATGAAATTACATGTTTCATATTTATTATTGTGATTTGGTTTATCTACATAGATATGAAACAAATATATTTTCATATACATACTCATAGGTTTCATTTTCTGTTGTATTTGTGAAAATATTATATACTTAGTTTGTAGACTTCAATATCAGTTTATACATGTTTTACTAAGTCTATAAAAACATTTCACAAAGTTTCAAAAGTTGGTTTATGTCAAAACATCAAAATTCAAGTATCTCATATTTTCATGTTTTGAACTATGTTTATTATCATGTCTACAATCATTCACCAAAGTTTTACATTTTTTAGAATTTATTTGATATTTTTAAACAGTGTTTTAAAATCAGCAAAACATGTGAGAGAGATAGCTAGAACATATATGATCAATTTGCTAAAAGAATTAAACTCATGTTCTAATGTCTCTACTTCTAATATGGCATTGTTCTTATTCATGAGATAAGCTTAGAAATGGATGACGGTCAATTTTTCATTTTCCAAATTTTGAATAAGTCATTGTCTTTCTTTAAGCACATAGTATTTCTTTGCAATGACATCAAAATTTGGAAGCCTAGCAACTCATTGATCGGATTTCAAACTAACATGCGCTTGCTTGTTCATAATCTTATAAATATTATTATGCAACTTTAGTATATGGCATGCATTAATCTATATCATATGCACAAGCGAGTTCATTGATATATTATCACATTATCTGGATTCTGAATCGCTTACCTCACTAGGCTAATCGCCTAGTGGCCGTGTGCATGATGATTGCTCCACACTCACTTGAAGAATAATCCTCCAACTACGTGGTATCTTCCTCCAAGTTGTCGTTGATGTGGCTTCCTATGAATTTCGCATAAATTGTTAGGCAACGCGTATCAAAATGAACAATAAATTTGTTAGAAAAGGTATGTGTCGAAAGGCATTAAAGCAAATTATTCAACAAAGCTTGTTCATATTAAACATTCTTTTATCATTGGCTACTCCACTTGGATTTTTCCGTAAGTGGTAATAATATAAGGCATCTTCATAACTTCCCATCAAATCGGGCAGTGTTTAGATCTAATCAAATATGTGTAATCTAGAAACACCATTTGGTCATAAGGGTAATTTATTTATTTAGAGGGCAACACAGGATCAATGCTTAAACAAGATGCAGCAATGTGTGTCGCATATACAGAAAATGTATGCAAGGCAAGATACAAATAAAGCTGCAAAATTAGATTAGCACAAATAATATAACTTGGAGCTTTAACTCAAGGCGGTAGGACCTTTAAATCAAAGAGCATTCCAAGCTTCTGATACCAATTGTTAGACCGCTAGAGGGGGGGGTTGCGTGATTCTAGGGTCTATGCTAATCTAATCCGATAAAATGTTCAAATTAAATTAATTAATACGTTATCCTATAAGGTATGAAATACAACAATATTTGTAGCTTAGGATTAAGCAATGTAAACAATAACGATATGATCCTTATATGATGAATTATATTATATGCCAAGTCGACTATATAAACTAACACAAGGGATAAACCATCTAAACAAGATAGTGCGATAAAGTGAATGAGCACATTGCTACAATTGCGGATATAAAATAAATGCAAAAAAGCAACTAGCGCCAAGACAACTCAACAAGCGATATGATCACTGCGAGTTCGGCGGACCTTCCGTCCTACCGGTCTCGCTCTCCTACTCCCGGGAGAAATCCTGACTAACACAAATCCGGTTTGGAAGAGCGGAAACTTCTTCTCACACTCGTTTCTTAGCTAACCAGAAAACTCTAACAACTCACACTCTTGCAATCACTACTCTACACCCACTAAGTGTTGGACCTAGCCGGCTGGTCTCCCTCATAGTGGCTCCGGTTACAACCCTCTGCTAGGGCCACGTCTAACTCGACGCCATACTCCTCTGGACATCCGGCTCCGACTCTCACCACACACTGTCTTTCACTCGTGTACAACGTGTATTACAAAAGTGATTCTCACCAATAAGGCACAAAATATCGACAAATGATTATTCTCAAAATCAAGGTGAGAACTCAATTAGCCTCACTCTCAATGTCATCAATACCCTACAACCCTAGAATTATATAAGCTATGAATGTTTAAATACAATAAGTCTCAATAGGTTGTGTGTGAACAAATAGTAGTATGCAAATAATAACAATTTAAACTAAACTCAAAATATAAATCTAAGCTTATGGAAATTATAATCAAAATAATAAATTGGCATGATGAGTTTAGAATACAGCTTCTCTGAGATCAAGATGGAGAGATGGAATGATTGAGCCGCATAACAAGAAGATAATCTCTCGACTTGTTGAAAACCAAAACAGTCTTAAAACGAAACCTTATAAATCAGGCTTAAACAAGCGGCTTAAACTCTTTTTAAACCTTGTTTCAAAAAACTTCTTTAAAACCATTCTTGATCACTTGATAAAGAGATCAGCAATTGTGTATTTATACGCCTACCAGATCTCCAACAAAAACCCCAAGCAAAAGACAAAAACAGCCCCAGCATCAACCTCAGAAAATATGCCGTTGCAATAAAAGCAACGGTCATATAGCTCGGGTCGATCAGAAATTTCGCGGTCGACCGACAGAGATGCAAAACACAGAAAAATGGCTGCTGGACCATCGCGACCTCGCGCGTTGCGGTCACCGATGGAGGCTTTTCGGTCGACCGGACCGCGGTTCTCGACCGACAGACTCTCTGTCGCATCGAGTAAGGAAATGAACAAATGATGGTCGACCGGTGCGGTCGACCCGAAATCTGACAATATGAAAA